TCAGGGTCATTTGACGGTCCGCTTGAATGGGGAAAAGATGTATAAGCTGACAAAGTATGGCAACCCCAAAAGAGCACAAGGCCCTTAGCTTAAATTACTCTTGTTGGATTGGAGAGCCTGACCACTGGGGTTAATATGCTTTACAGCAAGACAACTGACTGACTATGGGTAGCACATCTTCACTCTATATACACCACACTCCCTCACACTCCAGTGCACCCAATGAAAAAACGACACCCAATTAAAACATCCCAACTGCTTGTACTTACCATTCAAATGCAAAGTCCACAATCTAGAGCCCGAAGCACCTTGTGTTAAATGCAAATCAATGACATCACACACTGAAATGAATATTTAAATCAAGCAACTTTTCTTGTTGCAGCCAAAATTGGGAAACTCAATAAAACTCTACATGCAAGAAAAATAAAGGTTGTCATTTTAAACAATAAAATGGGCTGAGATGTGACAACTAGGATCCAGAAGGGTGCAGTTCATTAATCCAAGCCCCATTTGAAACAGTGTAAAATTCTGTTTAATCCCCAAACCCAGGGGTTTGATCCAGCCAATTTCCACAATCCAATTGTTTTAGCCAAACAATCCCCTTTTTTCAAAGAAAGTATGAGACACTTTTTATACTAATGGCACAGCAGAAATTATCTCTTAAATTAGGGCCTTGCAGGGCCAGGAAGCGAGTTTTCTTCCGTACTCAAAATACATGAATAATTATAAGACTGAACTACTAATGACCCAGCACAGCATACATATGTATGTGCACGTACCGCCTGTGCACTACGTCGATGTACATGTATATGTACGATCCGATCACGTGAAGTCTTATGAGTCTATGAAGGCTTCACATCCTGAGAATAGGATATAATTAAGTTTGAACAATAACTTTGTTGGTTACATTTTGGATAGTTGCAAAACGTATATTGTTCCTAAAGGTCAACCAGCCTTTATTAATTTTGGTAAACATAATGCTGTTGGATTTTTAAAAACATTCAATCTAAAAAGAGGTCCAAGGTCAATTTCCACCTCTGTTCAATTCAACTAAATTATCCTAGACACTTAGTGTCCTCATCAGTTTCTGAATAGTTTATATACACTTGTAGTTTGGTTTTATTCATGGTTTGATTAAGTTCAATTCAACAACATCAGAAGAAAGATTTTAACAATTGTGCATATTGGAATATCCAGATTTGAAATTGTAGAGAACAGCGTACATGTATTTTAACCCAATCCTTGACAATGGCTCAAATGAATGGAAAGATGCAGAACTACCAGTACATGTAAGTACAACAGGAAACGCTTTATTGAATGCAAATGGTTTTGGAGCATGATGAAGACTGTTTGTACGTGTCCTTTGATGTGGCATATTCACAGTTATTAAGTGAATAAAATGCAGTTTACTGCAGTACTAAACCCCGACTAGATCTTCACTTGCTGCTACTGCAGCCAGACCTGTGGATCCCGCATCGGCATAACCAGTCACAAGCGTGCTTGCTCAGTGTAGACGTGCGTGGACTACTACCTTCATGATCTTAGTTCGCGAAGCCAAGCCGAGAAACACGGTACATGCACACACTTCATGTATACCATTCATATTGTACTGCAACCGAATAAAACATTACTTAAGTTTAATAATACAGGCAAAGAAATGCACTACCGAGTTTTCCGTATTTCATGATAGGTGACATTTTCTGACATGAACAATAGGCCTATACTGGCTGCCGGCTGTTTCCGTTCATCAAAATTGCGCCAGCAGATATCGGCATGGCTTGATCGGACCCTGGTCACGGTGCACAGTACACGTACACACCGTGCACATGCGGTATGTTGGGTCATTTCAGCAGTAGGCTTGATCAATAGAACATGTTTTTAACTCACCCACCTGCGGAAAAAAATATTCGCGGCTAGGAAGGTACAGTTTTTTATAGACATCTGCATAATAAGCCGGCAAGAGACAGCGCCACCGCTCGACGAAGACATGCCATTCCCCAATGTGTTTTCTTGATCTTCCTCGCCGCTGGACTCTACACCATCCGCTGTACACAGAATGAAAACGATTTATTGGGCTGCCTTAAGCTAGGGTGTTAACATTGCTACTCATCATTTGCCTTCAAACTTTAGCCGCCCCCTCAATATTGCCACTAAAACGTCTGTTGCGGACCATTATGTCCGCAGGGCCCATTGTGTCCGCAAACTTTTTCAGGCCCATTATGTCCGCCCCATTGTGTCCGCAGGCCCATTATGTCCGCCCCATTGTGTCCATACGGAAATGTCCTTAGCAACTTGCCAATCCTCTGTTGAGCCTTTTCGTTTTGAAGACTTCTTTGCACAAAGTTAATAAACGGATTGAAACTCTTTGTATTTGCCCTAGAAGGCTTAAATCGAATAGAGCACTGCAGAATTGGAAAAAGAAACATGAAATAAGTTTGGAATTTAGCCTCAAAGTTGTTGCTAAGATGATAAATTATTTCCATTTTTAATCGATCACTTCATCTTTTTCGACAAAATTTCTCAATTTTTAGATGTTCTCCCAAAACAGTGAGACACTGCATACGACTGGCCAGAATCTCAACC